TAGGCGAAGCGCCATCTGCTCTCGGCCACCTCAAGCCCGGTGAATCTGTAAATGCCTCTTTAAGGCAAACAGTGGCCATTCAGTCACAAAAGAACTATCGAACAACTGTTTAGTCGCGCTTTGATTCCCACGACTTTATACGGAGGTACACACTACTGGATTATTAGTGGGGCAAATAAACAGGTGAATTTGCTGGGAAACAATCGACAATCGCACACAGTTGTGCAATAGTTTAGTCAAAGGTGTGCGGCCGCTATAAATATGCTAACGATTACAAGTAATTTTTTTTTATCGGTTCATGTACTTATATAGATTTAAAATTACATTGATATACACATTAAACGCTGTAGCAATTACAATAGATAAGATAATAGTCTAAAAGATGCTTCAATTTTACGTCAGCAACCTGTTTACACGATAAATCCGTTTCGAAATCTATACTTATATAATTTAATAAACCAGAAAGTGTTAAGATTGAATGTTGATGGCTATGGATTGTGTGAAAGAGGATATGCTTAAGAAAGGAGTGGATTCAGATATGGCGACTGATAGAGATGTATGGAAGAGCAGCACATACTGTGCCGACCCTCCGTAAGGGATAAGGGCAAGCGGATGATGATGAAGTCAAAGCAACAGCCAGTATTAAATAATGCCATCTACATTTAAAAACAAGTTGGTCAATGAATTATAATACCTGATATATTTTTCTTAACTATAAAGGATCAGTGGCTGAGTTAAGCATTTGACTTGTAACATAGGGTATATTTTTTACAATTTTTATTCACTCAGGCGAAGTCGCGAGTGACAGCTAGTCTCTTTATAATATGACTAACTAGTGATATTATGAACAGATATTAAAAATACAATGGTGACATACGTACCTTATTATCTGTTGCCTTGTGATCTTTGATGTTTGCTCGTGTTCGAGGTTTGAAGACGCGAACTTATCTTGCTATTGAAAAAAACATTATCAATTGTAAATCGTTTGTCGAGGTATAAATATATCAAAGTACGTAAGCAATAAATAAGAATCCAAATAAACCTTAAGGACATATTTCTTTATTCATTAGCTTTCGCCCGCGACTCCATCCGTGTGGAATCAAAAAAAAAGGTGTGTAGTCTTCCAGACTGCCACCTACATTTATTTCATAGAAATCCGTTCAGCCGTTTAGGCTACAAACATCAATTCATATAAACATTCGCATATATAATATTAGTATGAAGTATTATTTTGATCGTAAAATGAACAATTTTCTTTTTTATTGATTCCTGAAATCCGACTATGGAGCTAATTTTTTAACATGAAAATATCGCAAATAGACACCTGAGAGTTCAGTAAAAATCATTGAAAAAACAAAGTCAATAAACTTATTTACAATATTACTTAACAAATAAATCGATCTATATCGATTTGATAATTATTCACAAATTCGATCACAAAAGTCGTGAAACCTGTTCCTCCGGATCAAGAAGTAGTTCTATTATTTACATATATAAAGTAACCAGTTTGTCACATAGATCTCTTCGTCTACTTGACCAGACTTGATTTGCGAGCGAGATGGCAAATACGAAATTGCATGTGTTTGAAGATGACAGCAATATAAATGAGGTTAATGCAGACACTGTCCTGTTGTAATAAGCATAATAAAAAGGCAAGGTTTTTAAAAGACAAAAGGATGGTCTGAGGTTTTATTTATCTTCTGTGTTTCTAAACGATTACTGTGAGGATTAAGAGCGTGCGCACACCTGGAACAAAACGATCGCACAACTGTTTAGTCTCGCTTTGATTTCTATGAGCCTATGGTATATCGAGGTGCGCACACTACTCGATTTTTAGTTGTGCAACTAAACAGTAGAATTGGCTGCGAAACAATCGACAATCGCACAACATTTGTGTTAAATATGTGCACCCGCTCTAAAGATTCTTTTAAAATTGTTGACATTTATTTATTTCAAAACTATCTTTCGTGACTCCGTCCGCGTGGAATTAAATAAAAACAAAAGTGAGTAGCCTATGTGTTCTTCCAGACTATACTCTACATTTATACCAAATTCCATTGAAATCCGTTCAGCCGTTTAGGCTACAAACTCTAACATCCATTCATCTATCTATCTAAACTTTCGCATTTATAATTTTAGTATAATTATCGCAGAACTGTCGATATACTAAGACATCCTTTCTTCCGCAAAGTGCAACCCTTATACAAGACAAGGGTGAGAGATTCCTGGTTTAGTAATGGCGTTGTCAACTAATGATCTAGGAAGGACTAGGGTCACGTTCCAAATGGAGATCTTGCGACCCCTCTTTAGTGCTGTGGGAGACCACCGTGGGGTTTTTAGTTGGTGCAAGCCCAATATTACTCATCTTTACCACTACAAAGACGCGTAAGGCATTTCCCCACGCTAAAAGGGGGGGGGTTCTATTAATAAGGTCTTATTCAATGTAGTTTCTTATCCATTTATTTTCGTGCGTTAAGGGGCGCTCATGTTTATTAGTACTACAAACATCAAATATTTTGGTACACCTATAAATATATACTCTTAAGATACCACTTAACCTATATCAAGAAAATGGCGTAAGATATTACTGAAGTTGATTGTATTTTAATATCACTTCATACAAAGCTTGTTCAAGTGCTCTGACGCTCGATAGGACGCAGATAAAAAAATATCTTGATATCTAATGAACACGTTTGTGACAACAGTGAGCTCGATTTATAAAAGGGCAACATATTATACATTTTTTTTTATAATATGAGGTGGCAAACGAGCAAGCGGCCTGAATCCACCGAAATGGAAAGCGACCGCTGCCCATAAACATCCGCAATTACAGATGGGTTGCCTACCCTTAAGGAGAAGGAGACGCACATAAAGAGGACATTCTCCCTTCCTAAGCGTCACCTTCACCGTTATCCACTTTTCCTTCCCATGCTCTCCTCTTAAGAAAAGGGTGGAAAGGGAAATGGACTAAAATTAGGCGTCCGGCACCACACTCATCAGCCAAAACGCGGTATTGCTTCCACTTGACGCCTGTTTTCTGTGTGGTCGTGGTAAACCGGGCGAGCCGGCCAATTCGTGCGATGATGTTAAAGCGGGCTCTACCACTGTTGATAATGACAATGCAATGTGTTGACAATGCAAATTTTAACTTAAACCAAACCACTTAACTTAATTGTTTCTTAAGATTACACTAAATAATTGGGCCACATGTTGAAAAATAGTGTATTCACAATGAAAAAAACATTTTTTGGTATTTCATCATCGACTGGCAACGCCCTTGAATAACATCGGAACATATCTTTCGTTATCAAACTCAAATAGTTACATTATCGGTTTTTTAACTATTTCACGGAACGGAAATCTCAATAACCGTTAAAAAGATAAATAATACATGAATGTTATTTACCTGTTTATTAATAAGTAGATAATTTACCATTTCCTAGAAATCTACGTCACTAACGCATGACTATTAATTTTCATTAATAATCACTATCTTACGTATATAACTTGAAAAGAAAGGGTATATTTAAAGGATTTCCATAATCTATATTAATATAATAAAGTGTAAACACTACTACTACTGCGTGGTGTAGGATGTCAGCAATCAGAGCATATTTTTGAATTCTCTGTTTATTAAAAAGTCTCGCACTTACGACACGCTATATATTTTCACGTTATTAGACTTAGGTGGTAAATTAATTTGAAAAAGAGATATTTATGTGGGAAAAGGACCTTAAAGTACAAGATGCCAACATTAAGGAAGCAAGGTTATTATGGTAACAGTAATTTTGAATTTGACAAATGTAAACAATAAATTATAATTTCATGTGTATGAAGCCGTACGGAAACAGCTAGTGCTAAAATAAAACGTTAAATGTGTAAAATAAAAACATATAAGTAAACTTGATGAAAACACAAACAGGCTTCTTGAAACAAAAACTAAAAACTTTTAACGTGTTTGTTGATAAAGGTATTATTAAAAGCATTTTCGAAATCTTAGTTGTTACATATATTTAGTGGAAAATAAAATAATTACCTGCATTTTAACCGTCGGTTTCCACTGTCGATAAACTTGTACAAAAATATATTGTTATCTTCCATTGAGAGGTAGGATGTAAAAAATAACCTAACTTTATCATTGTCATAATAAATCTATATTTTTTCTATCAGATGACACTTTAATATCTAATCACCTTTGTAATATAGTTATTTAGGAGAAAACTTTAGTATCCAAAGTCACAAATTACGTAATATACCTTTTATATTAGTGTTAACTAAACACATAGACGAGACGAGGCATAAGGCACAATATTTTTTTCACCGGTACTTTCTCTGAAAGGTACTATAGTTGTCAAATTTTTTGCCACGTCTTGTCTGTATTGACATGTAATAAAACATACAAAATTAATATAAGATCTTTTGTCATTAAATAAACTAAACAGTGACACAAAAAAAACATTTCTAAATCATTTAATGACACCTATGTAATTCATTTAAATAAAATTAATGATATTGACATGTGGTTCTGAGGATCTATTAAGAGATTGTGTTTGTGAGGTTATGTGAAAATCTTGCAAGTGAAATACAAACTATGCCTCGTCTATATTCTCTATATATTCTTTTTAAATTCTCTTTGGCGTTACCACATAGTGTGATAAACTGACAAAGGTCCTGTGAGACCAAATTAATTACAATAATAGAGCAGGTTAAAGTGTTTAGGTTGAAGGTCGCGCAGAATGTGGAGCGGTGACGTCACAGCTATCGCCTCGCCCAAAGTTCACTGTCAAATATTTTTACTAGCATTCGCGCGCGACTCCGTCCATGTGTAATTAAAAAAACTAAAGTGAGTAGCCTATGTGTTCTTCCAGACTATCCTCTGCGTCCATGTCAAATTTAATCGAGATGCGTACAGCAGTTTAGGCTACAAACACCAAGAAACATCTATCCATCTAAACTTACCCATTTATATTAGTAAGATTGACCTTGCGTCCACAGCCGAAGTACTTTCCACTTTTATTATCTTTGAAATAAGATTAACTGTATTCTTATAAAACTCGCTCGCGACTTCACCCGCGTAAAATAAAAAAATATAGCCTATGTTACTCACAGATAAATTACCTTTCTAACGTTAAAAGAATTTTTAAAATCAGTCCAGTAGTTTCTGAGTTATTTCAATACAAATAAAATACAAATCTTTTCTCTACAATATGTTTGCTATTCATACCTAATGTTTGTTAACATTTGTCCCCACTTCAATCAAAAATTACACATGTGATGTTATAGTCTTTGAGCCCGTGTTTGGGGACGTATGTGAGTCGATGACAACGAAACTTGCTTTACTATTGTCTGTCCACTCTTATCTGTACTTCAATTCTAATATTACAAAGAGGAAAGCTTTGTATTTTTGTATGTATTAAAATAACTCTAAAGTTACTAGGCAGATTTCAAAAAAATTTTCACCATTAAAATGCAATGTTATCAGTGGCTATATTTTTATTATTGTTAATTTCATGCGAGTGAAATCGTAAACAGCTAGTTAAAACTAAAGGTGTTCTATTGTTTTTTATTTATCGTATTACAAACAGTGCAATCAACGCTATGTTCTCTGGCTTATTTGGTCATCGAATGCTTCTTACCTTGACGTCTATTCGATGAGCGTTTCCGTTTAAGCCAGGTGTTGTAAACCTTTTTGCATTAACTAATCATCAACTGTGTTCACCTTTCGATATAACCTTACATTTTAAGTGAAGTACTGAAGTTTGTTAAAACATTTTACGGTGATTTATCCTTGTATAAAAATCTAATAGAATTGGACACAAATTAATGTTTAAATATACCTGCTTTTGCAACCAATAGCTGATCAGCTATACATTATTTATTATTCGTGTTTTGTTACCTCGGGTTGGCAGTCCCTGGATGTGCATTTTCGTAAGAGCCGTCGATTTTCCGGCACAGCTGTAGTGAATACGTAATTCTTACAAGCAATTTGCATATAGATACCTGCATATTTATCTCTAACCTCACTTTAGCACTCAATATTGAAGTAAACAACGGAATATCCTAATTCAACTCTTTTAGGTGAAATAATGAAAGTAATTCGGTATGAAATCCTTTATTAAGTTTTTTGGTATTTTTTGAGACATTTTTTTTTCTTTGTACCCACTTGACTGGAATATAAAAGAGAAATTTACAATGATCACAATTTAGAGAAATGTATACAAACATAATTATTATAACAAATTATAACCTGTCAAAGTATTAAGCTACGTACACACTTGCGTTTTCAGTTATAAATTAAATGTACTTTTATGTAAAATTGCAAGCAGTTACTAATCAAAAATATTTGGTTCATGTGTACGCTGCTTATACCGCATTCACTAAATGTTGAATAATGCCCATTTAACTACAAAAACATTCGATTAAAAAGTTTTTTAAATGTGCGTTGGCATCGAACGGAGTAAATTTTGAACATTTCAAATTTAATTTGATAAATTTTGGCATCAAAACACATTGGCAATAAAGGGTGGTAAGGGGCAAGAAGCTGTCAAATATTATTTCCATTCATATTTTCCATAATTTTATTTTCGAATGTTTGGTATAATTTGGACATTAATAGAAAAAAAACTTCGCATTTTTGTAATCTTATAAAAAATGCTATGGTGCTATGTAATACAAAAGAACCAAACATAGTTTTAAATGGATAAAAACATTACCATTGATATTGTCAAAATGGTAAATATCACCTGTCACTTTTAAATTATTGACAAGACTAATGTAACACCACCCTTATTTGCCGTTTTGTAGACAATTTTTTGTCATTCATTCCGTTACGCACGAGCGAATCATTCAATTTGTTGACTATTTTAATCTATCTACACTATAAGCAAATCATAGTTATATTTAGTTCATTTTAACTTATATCGTATACTTATAGCATCTGATAGTGGCTTAAATAATATCTGATAAATAAAACAACGGAATTTTAACGTGTCACTAAGGGCCTGTCCCGCCAATGGCTGATAGAGGCTCAGATAGTTTAAAAGTGTCCCTGTCAGATAGAATACCAAAATCAGATATTTCAGGTTGTCATCAATTTCCAAGAATTGTAGGACAGGTCCTTAGTCAAATATTTTTTGAAATTGTGTCGAAACCAATTGACTGTCTAATTCTTTAGCGGTGTTATGTTAATTTAAATTTTTGTACTTATAACAGCATTTTAACAAAAATATATAGACAACTCACATCAATATTAGAAATGATTTAGTAAATAAAATAATACATAAATAAACTCATAAAAAATAATATTTAAAATACTTCGATAACTGTATTTAATATGCATGTCAGTAGATAAAAAACACGTGTAAAATTTACGAGTTCATGACAATAAAATAAAAAATTAACAAATGTAATTAGTGACGATAAAAATTACAACACACGATTTTGAAACATTTTTTTTTATTATAATTCACACGCAATTATTTTATTATTATGATTTTTTAAGCAAACGAAAATGCTTACGATTTTACGTTATATTGAAATAAATAAACGATTATTGCTAAAAAAAATCTAAAAAAATAATCTATGGTCTTTTTATGCACTTATACCAATTAAAGAATAAAAGATATAAGAAAATTAACCAATTAACGGTTTTTCTCGTATCACAATAAATAATTATGACTTATGGATATCGTTTTATTAAAAAAAAATTAGCAATTCCTCTACCAATTTGACAACCAGATGAAAAATATAATAACTATGATTCGCTCACAAATAACAACAATCGGACTTTCAACAATTTTTACAACAATATAGTAATAAATAAAAAAAAAAACATTGGCTATTACAAAAAAAAACACATTGGTAGTATTCAGATTGGCAACACTGATTAAAAACAAATATGACAATTCATATTTTTCTAAAAAAAAAATTATATACACGTCATATTATGCTTCCAGTAAATTGTTGCTAGATTCTTAAAATATCAAAAGTACCATTTAAAGTGGGTGTCCTTTATTCACTAATCATAAAAGTTGTTATGTACCTAAATGCATAATATAACGCTACTACACGTATGACATACAAGCTACGGTTATATTATACGATTTTATGTCAGCCTTTTATATTACGAATTACACGATATATGACAATATTCATTATAAATGGGCCAACTTAACCACTACATCGAAATCCAACCACGAAACTTTATGCTTCAAAGTATTACTTTTATTTTGTAGAAATCAAAACTGCACCTTTTTTCTAAAATCAATCAATATTATAAAGAGGAGAGATTTTTTGAATAGAGTATTTTTGTATGTATTGAAATAACTTAAAACTATTGGGCCGATTTTAAAAAAATTCTTTCATCGTTAGAAAGATAAGTTATCCGGGAATAACATAGGTTGTATTTTTTATTTCATGTAGGCGAAGTCGCGAACAACAGCGAGTTTCGTATATAATCATATGTCAATCGAACAAGGTGGGAATGTTGCGCCAGCGAACATTTTTTTAAACTGTAGGAATTAAAAAAAACGAAAAAACATTAATTTTTCAGAATCGATTCATTGGCTTAAATCGGTGTTTTTAAAAAACCTCAGTATGAAGGTAAAATTAATATCAAATGTGGTTTATTAAAATGGCCCAAGTACAAATGTTATTTTTTTTTTAAATTCGAGATTTTTTGCATAACATCGTGTTTATTCCAAGGCTGACATAATTATAAAATACAAACAACATTATGACTAAAGTGACAACTGTGACGATAAGTACACAGCGAGACAAAAGTAAGCTAATTATCTTTATATAAAAAATAAATCGTTGTTGTATATGCAAATATAGTTTTTTTGCTATTTCCAACAGAAATATTTGGTCTATGAAAAACTATTTGTAGGGGATTTTAAAACAAAAATCAAGCTCTATTCTTTATTAAAAAAAATATTTGCATATCAACAAAGATATCGCAGCATACGCTACCTTAATTAATACTTTTTTTATAGTATTATTTGTCATTTTTTAATTTTTTTTTGTAGTATGGCACCACAGCCATCATACCTAATGACAATCACACTCGTGAGTTATTGTGCAAAAATAAATAAATGTTACATGTAAGAAAAAATCGACATCAGAGACACGATGCAAAGCTACGACTTAAAAAAAATTAGCTTGCTTTTTACAATTACAAGATTTTTTTTAATTTATTGGTCTAGTAAGGGTTTTTAAATCGTTTTTTTTTTTCATTATACTTGTATTACGCTTTTCATATATTTGGTGGCCCAAAATCATCAGCTGGGAAAATCCCGCTACACCTAACATTGAAGTGTACAGGTTTTGTTAAATTCAATCCAATTAGTAGTTCTGGTTTTATTCATTTTATAGCCTGTCTCTATAGAAGTTTATACACCTTACATATAACTTTACAGCTTACTACCGAAACGAAATTTTATTATAATAATGAGAGCAAATCGATTGTTTACGTTACATCACAACCACCTCACGTCTGCCTACATTTTTAAGCTCATTTGTTATTGAAATTTAGACTTTAAATCATAAGAATTAGGGTCCGATTTCGAATATTAACATTGCCACTAAAACTACGCAAATTCTTAAAAAAAAATACACATGACTTTTAATATGGTTAACTTATTTCAACTGTGCACTACAGCATTATGTGTAATAAAATATTTAAAAAATTCATCTACTTAACAATCGCTTTCAAAAAAATCGTAAAAAATCGCGGAAAAACAACTGACAGTAACAATATTGCGTTTTTTCTACAGTTTTATGCTTCAATATAAAGACAAAAAGCCAGACAATTGCCCATAATAATGAAACATGAAATGTAAAAAAATACGATTTTTTTAACCAAAATAATAAAAGTTGGTAGAAAAATTAAACTAATATTTTTGGAATGAATATTACAAAAAAATAATGCTGACGATCCGCAGTGAATATTTGTGACAATTACCTATAATATATTACAATTGAAATTAAAATATAATTCGCATCACGTTAAAACAATCATAACCAACACAAGCAATCATTTTTTTTTTCAAGCATTCTGAAAGCATTTTTCATTCTATGTACCTTATTTTATCTACGTATTTTAAAAACGAATGCAGCTATAATAGGTATTCATAAAATAAATAAGTCGATTTTTTTCGAAACTTAAAGGTACAATACAATCGAGCTAGCTTTTCGATTTTATAAAAAAAACGTTGTAAAATCGAAGAGTATGAAAATCACAATATATTAAAAAATCAAGGACGTTCAAATAAATAATAACGTCACAAGTCTGGCAATTAAAGGCGCCATAGACAAATGATATGTAGAATGCCTTGAGAAATATTTAAGTAGAAATAGACAATTAAAAAATGATTAAAACTATTTTTTATTAATTTTATTGTTGCAAAATGTTACCAGTAAAGGTTAAACTAGATAAAAAGGGTAAATTGTAAAAGTTTTGTCTATGAAGTCTTTAACATAACAGAAAAAACTACACTTAAAATATAAAAAAAACATGAATGGCTTTATCGTGGTGCTATTCTAGATAAAAATATTTTTGCACATACATTAAATCACACAATGCTCTTTCTCGAAAATGATTTTAGAAAAAATACATCAATTTTTTGTTATCATTTTTTCTCACCAAAGTTCCAAAAATATTTACAGCACAGTCTATTTCTAGTTACCATGAATAATTTCATAAACCTTTTTTCTCATATTAAGAACACATTCGACTATTATTACTAAAAGATCATAACCACACGTCATGTAATTAAAAAAAATCAACTTAACATAGGATGTTTTTAAATTATTTTTTTTTACCATACATTGCTAAGTTAAATAAAAACTATTCAACACACCATCTTGAGATCTGTCATTCACTTATGTAAGATTTTTTTCAGAGTTTTCCACAGTTTTTATCACATTTTTTATTTAAATACTGCTTCCTCTTAGGTGCTTTGTAAGATATGTAAAAGTCATATTGCCAGAATTGAAAAATATTGTGTGACTACCGAACCGGTGTTGCCACTAGTGGAGGTTATTGTACTGACAACACAGCATTCAAGACGTGTACTTCCCTTTGCTTGGCGATACCTGCATTTAAAAAAAAATCTAAACATCTTACGGCTGAATAATAAAACGACATTTAAGTAACGTCTTAAATAGCAAAATTTTCGTTTAAACTACAAAATTCAATTACCATTTTGACGTCTGTCAGCAAAGTGTTTAAAATTCGTTTCAGTATCCTACCGTTACATTACTTCAACGGCTCAAATTTTAAAATGTGTGAATATTTAGGTTAACAATTTACAATATAATTTACATGCAGGAAAAAATATCCTAATAAAAGGCAATTTTTTAAGGTTTTTTTGTGTAAAAATGTTTAGTATACCTGGCTATGTCACGCGATCGAGTTGACAGCGTAGTGAGGCCGGGTGCCCTCCGGCTGGTATAGCGTGATCGACGCTATGTAGTTGTTCGACATCACCTACGATAAAGTTTTCTCTATTCTATTATATGGCGATTGAGAGATGCTCCATATTAATTATGATATCCTGGTACCCGTGAAAGTGAAGCCGAAGGAGGCCGTGGGACCAATCTTACTCATTCTATTAAGAAAGTTTAGATGGATGGATGTTTGTTACAGTTTGTAGCCTAAACTGCTGATCAGATCACGATTAAATTTGGCATAAATGTAGATGATATTCTGTAAGAGAACACACATTTTGTTTGCTTATAATACCATGCGGACGAAGTTTCGGGTGAAACCTAGTGTTATCTATTTTAGAACTACATCACCTCGAATATGATATCCTGGTACATAAGAAGTAGGGCATTGCAAAAAAATCTTCTTTAGACATTTTAGAAAAATTCACAATAACTTCTATTATATCACGTCCTTATTACGTATTTACTATGTTTTTAACACAGTTTATTGATTCTACTAGCAATATCGAGTTAAGTCATTTTGTCTAGGGGTAGGTCCAATATAAACTTTCGGTAGTCAGTTATTATCTCGAGGCGTATCTTACCTGGAATTATGTCTTGTAGTCGAATCAGAAAGCAATAGATCTTAATTTTATTTAGTTACTAACTATATCATATTAAATATGATATCCTGGTACCCTAGCGTCAAGTAGTTATAATAGCGATGTATAAAATTTGTGACGAGTATTCAGTGCAACCTTACCTCAAATATGATATCCTGGTACCCATAACAGAAGGTGGATCCGAATGGGTTGGTAGTGTTAGTGGAGGAGGCGCGGTTGAGCACCACAGGCCGCTCGCAGACGCGCAACGCACGCGACACCGTCTCCCACTTGCTGTATGCGGTAATGGTGACCGCGCCGCGGCTCTCCACTAGTGTATTCGACTCGCATCTATAAAAACAACATATAGAGTAAGTATAGTTGACACTTCACTTAATACATTTTTCACATAATCTCACTACTTATTCATAGATCC